GGCTTTGCTCGGGGTGTCCCTGGTCTGCTGGGGACCCCCCCAGCAGACCAGGGACACCCGGAGCAGCTTTTCTCACCCCGGAGGATGCGGTGGCAGGACCACTGCGCGTCTGGGTGGTCCCACCGCCCGCGAGTTCCGGGGCGAGAAAAGCCCCGTTCGTAAGTACGGATCCGACATAAGTCAGATCCGTGTACCTTGGGGACTGCCTGTAATGTGCAAATATAGAGACTTAATATATACCATGGGTGAGCAATAAGTGGCTCCCAGGCTGAATGCAATTCACCAGGGTTTAATCACTGGCTGGTTGCCATACACTTTATTTACCTCTGTGGTGTCCACAGGTATGGCTGTTTGCATCTCCTATGGGCCATGATTCACCATTCTTGGCCAATGAGAGCTGTGGGAAATGGCTTGAACCAGGATGCCACTTCTTGTAGCTCCCATTGGCTGGGAACCACAATCCATGTCTGCAGATGCACGGGTGAACAAAGTGTTCGGTGGCCTGCATCTGGCCCATATGCCACTTATTGCCTACCCCTGATATATAGCTTAGTATTTTGCCCCATTGTTCTACTATCTTTGTTCTTGTTTCTTTACCTACTTGGGCACAAGGTATACTGTGTTTTACATAGGAGGGATTTTGCTCTTGCTATGGCTGCTCTTTGTTCTGAAAAAGTCCTTCAGCCAACACTGCGAGAATTTCCCCAGTGCATGGGGTCCCTTAGTTCTAGCATGCTGGAGTATACAATACTACAGCAGTTCAGAGCAGCTCTCTCTGGCTGTAACTTAGAGCAGCTTCTTCCAATGCCTAAGTAATGCTGCTGTCTCGCCAGCTCAGAATTCTAAGGATGAAAACGTGGCTTAAAGGCTTATAGTGAGGAAGTTTGCACTGCTACTGCACAGGTATTGCCTAAACTGTAGTTAGAGGGCTTCCATTTCTGGGTTTGTCAGTTGAGCACCTTTCACAACCGCTTTAATTCATACAGTCTGTTAGAGAAACAACACACT